GTAAATTTATGCTATTGGATGGTAGCTGAAAATATGAGCAGGAAAAAAGGTAGAAAGTTAAAAGTTTATTTGTTTGAAATGCGATTGAGATTTATGGTTTATGTTTATGAAAAAATGGCTATGAAAAACTAGTTATTGTAGTGCAGAACCAATTTCTTAATTTGAGAGTATGATCTCAACAATATCAAGTATAATCGTTTTGAAGAAATGCATGTCAATAATTATCATTTGTTGTTAGCTGTTAGCAATGCATGTCAATAATTCTCGTTTGTTAGTATTTATTCTCTTTATTTTATCCCTAGAATGTTTGGAGAAAGTATAGATATGAAGCCGTCCCTTGTGAGTAACAGTTTGGAATGTTAGTATTTCACAAATTTAATATTTTCATTTTATCCATTATTGTATATCTAACTAGTTTGCTACTTTATATCATGCAGTTTAAGTTGTGGAATTTTTCATTCGCTTATATATGAAGGCTATAATCTGTGGTGTTGATACACTTCAAGTAACCACTCTCAACGATGAATCTGATGTCATATGTGCCAGGCTTGCAGCTGAACTTTAAGTAGAATGATGAGAACAAAAGAATCAAACAGAGATATTAGATAAGGATGAGAGAAAGTTGTTTTAAAAATTGATTGATTGAACCAAAACTTATGTGCATGTCTGTATTGTGTATATTAATTTAGTTGTGTAAACAGTTAATGTGGATGATAAAGAATGCAGCGAGCTTGACCTTTATTGTTCTTATTGTATTTCTGGTATTTTTGTCATCATATATTTATATTTTGTTTTGATACGATATATATTTAACATATTTAAATGAAAAGCTACATGTTCACTTGAATGTCAACAGGAAAAATCAATACTTAACATGTACATTTGACAAGTTAACATATTCAGTTGCATGTTATCATGTTATATAGAAAGCTGACATGTAATAGTGAATGTTAACATATTATGTTATAAGTTAACATATTCAGCTGATAGTTAGCGTGCAGAGCTAAAATGTAACATGTTTATAAGAAAGTTAACATATGCAGATGAAAGTTAACATACAGCTGACAGTTAACATGTTCACATAAAAATTAACACATACACCTGAAAGTTAACACATACACTTGAAAGTTAACATATACAGAAGATAGTTAACATGCTCTTGTGAAAGTTAACATGTTCAGGTTAAAGTCAACATTTTCAGCTTAAATTTAATATATTAAGCTAAAAGTTAACATCTTTACTTGAAAGTCTAAAGAATTTGAAAGTCAACATGTATAGTTGAAAGCCAACATGTTCATCTCAAAGTTAACATAGTCTAATAAAAGTTAACATGTTAAGTTGAAAGTTATCCAGCTGAAAGTAGTTTTAGCACCAAGACATTTTATAGGAAATACAAACAGTATACCTCAGCTAAATAAGTACATTACACAAAACATATTACATTCTTACAGCTGATATTGCTTGAGTACACAATTGCATGTTCGGCTGAAAGTTAACATATAAATAAGAAGGTTAACATGTTCAGTTGAGAGCTAACGATTTCAAGTGAAAGTTAACATATTCATGTTAAAGCCAACATGTTTGTCTGAAAATTAACATATACATATAAAAGTTAACCTTTACAATTTGTAGTTAACCTTTTTAATCAAAAGTTAATTTGTTCAGCTAAAAGTTAACATCTTCACTTAAAAGTTAGCTAAAGAATCTGAACGTTAACGTGTACAGTTGAAAGCTAATATTTTATTTTGAAAGTTAACATAGTCAAATAAAAATTAGCTCGGAGTTATTCAATTGAAAGTTTTTATAGTACCAAGATATTTAACAAGAGCCAAAAATAGTATAGCTCAGCTAAACAAGTACATTATACAAAACTTCTTACATTCTTACAGTTGATCTTGCTTGAATACATAATATGATTAGTCTTACACCTTCATAGATTATAAAAGTCTTCAACAATATACTATAAAATTATGGACGGCCTATATTTCTCTAACTAAAGTATTGTTGTAAGTAGCAGTCCACCCTAATCACTAATTGGCTCATTACAAGTTGATCGATTGTGACCCTAAGCTTTGCATCAAGAACATTTTGCTGAAATCACAAAGCTTACATCACACAAAGCATAGTTTTAAAAATAGTTTATTGATTACTTATATTTTAGTAAGAACATTCTGATTTTTTCAGAAGTAGAACCCTCTATATTAACAATAGCTTGCATGTAAATCTTCGTACAACCATTATTTCGATTGTACTCCAACATGCACTTCAAATCATCTTCATTATCAACTGAAAAACTCATGTTCGGGTGCCTCTAAGATTTATATATCAATGATAAAGCATCTTGAGGTACTTTCAGTCTGTCAGATATATCAAATTTCAGTTCTAAAAATCTTGTTGTAGATTTGAGCATCAAGAATATAATCTTATCGCCTAACGACATCATGCAAATCAAGTCTTTTGCGGCCATTAGGGGTTGCTGAAAGTTTTGAGAACAATTATGAGGAGTAATTAAGAGAATTTTTAGGGCATAAGGAGTTGTTAAAAGTTGAAGAATAAAAACACTAATATCATAAATGAAAGAGTGAGAGATAAAACTATAAAATATACAACCCAAGATGAGTCAGCCTAGTAATGAAGGGAACCCATGCTTATTTCCCTCCATTTTTATTGTCGAATCACATTAATTGTGATGGCAACGATCACCGGCTCCATGGGATAAGGGGAAGGTTTCCTGGGTGAGAGATGAAGGCATTTTCGGTAAGCTTTGGAAAATACATAGAGTACATATATAAAAGTTGGATTTTGGGGCTGGGCCACACTTTTTAGAGTGGTGTTAGGAGCACACCCCCTACCACACCATCAACCACACCCCCCTCTCCCATCGTTACAGTAAACCGGGCCCTACATGGGATTTTAAAATTTTTAAAATCCCATGTGGGGTCCGGTTTACTGTAGCGATGGGAGAGAAGGGTGTGGTTGGTGGTGTGTTAGGGGGTGTGCCCCTAACATTATTTCACTTTTTAACCTCGAATGGGGCTAAAGAGTAAGGAAAGAAGTTGCTGGGGCTGGGTCACATCAGCTTCATGATTTTGGGGTCTTGACACATTTTCCCTAAAAATTTATGTAATATTCTAAGAGAAAACACAAAAGTAATTAAAAAAACAAAGTTAGTAGCTCCACAGAACAGAAGGCGGAGAGGGGGTTCTATTTGAGAAACAAAGAGGAGTAAAACTTTCGTTATTGTTTGGTGTAGTATGAGAGTAATTAAGATAAGTTTTGGTATAATACTTTTAATATTATTGGTTGGAGTAATGAGGTTGGGATAATAACATTAGGTGTTTTTTATTTTTTGGCACATTATTGGGACAACTATCCCACTATCCTAAAATTTATCCCAACTACATGATATAAACATTGCCTTTCATCTCATTTAGGCCCTAATCTAAACAATGGAACACCACTAGGATATTTTGGCCCTAGCTCTAAAATTCCAAAGGCGATCCCAATTCTTTCTCATCTTGGTGGCGCTCCTCTTTCTCTTGCCTCCCAACTTTTTTGTCTTCCTCATCTTGTTGGGATTGAACAATCGACAACACGTGCCCTCCGGATCTTATGACAAACAATTAGCAAGAAAAAAAAAATCATAGCAAATCAAAAAACTTGCAGGAAAGAATAAATAAAAGAGAGAACATCATATTTAATGAGGTTCAGTAAACATGCCTACGTCCTCGGGAGCCACACCAAAAATTCCTTGATTATTAAAGAAGATTACAAAGCTTACAATAGGCCACTCTCTCTCTCTGAGATCTCTCTCACTAATCACTGATAAAAGACACGTGTTTACTAATAGCACAAGCCCTCAAAATATATAAGAAACCCTAATCCAAACAAATTCTCAAACAAACTGAGTTTCTTTTTCTACTGCTATTGGTCGACCGATATGAGTTATCAGTCGACTGACCAGAATGATTTTCCCAGTACACTGCCTGTGCACGTTATCGGTTGAATGATAATTCGAATTGGTAGACCGAATAGAAACTTTCTTGTTTTCCTGGCGTTCGAATCGGTCGGCCGATATTTCTTATCAGTCGACTGATGGCTTCCTTTTTCTGCTGTGTGCTTGTGCTTCCAGGTTTGGGTCTACACTCTCAAAACCAACAATCTCTCACTTGGAGACCAAACCTCCATCAATAAGTTCTCCTGAACTTTAGCCATCTTCTCAAGCATCTTCTCCTCCCCGGAAAAATTTCTTTCTTCAATCAACATCATTCTCGGTGATCCCACCTGTTCACCTAGTGTGTTTTTGCCCTCATCTCCTATGCATAAATGGCAACTAAAGTTGCGTATAACTCTAGTTTCTTGATGGTCACTACCTAAGTTAATATATCTGCAGGATTTTGGCTTCCCAAAATTTTCTCCAACAATAACTTCCCATACTCTATCAGTGAGCGTATGAAGTGGTAACACACGTCAATGTGTTTCATTCTGCTATGATATACTGGATTCTTCGTAAGGTGTATAGCACTCTGGCTATCACAATAAAAAACTCTGTTCCCCTACTTCAGACTCAACTCTTCCAGACATCTGGTCAACCAAATTATGACGCCCATGTTTTCACACAAAGTTGTAGTCCAAGATAAACCCAGAGATGTCAAACCTGCCATGCACTCACACTGTGCAATAATAAGTTTTATCAATCGTAGCAATATCCTCTAGGTTGTATTTGGATTCGAGGATTTGATTTCAAATTTCAAAATTGAATTCTAAAATTTGAAATCCAGAATTTCATATTCAATTCCTTCATTTGGGAAACATCCAAATTTGAATTCCAAAATTCAATTTAAAATTCATGTTTGGCAAATTTTAGAAATTTAATTTTAATAATTTTAATTGAGTTGTTTGCCAACTAATAGAATTCTAATTTCTAAACTAAAATAAGCAGTAATGTTAATAGTTGACCAAATCATTCATCAATAAAAGTTTGTAAACTCATCCACCACTAACCCAAAACAACAAATAAAGTAGAAACTTCAAATATTACATATAACAATTCAACAAACTAGAGATCCAAAATATCCAACAAACACAAACCCACAAAAAGTTAATATTTCGATGTTACATAGTGTCATGCTTAAGTTGCTCTCGCACTAGTTTCTTTAAGATTTTACATCTGATTTAAATGAGAGTTTATTTTTAATGCTTATACACTTTCACTTTGTATTTTTTTTGTAGTTTTCTCCCCCTCGATTCAGAAAGTCTTGCTTTGCAAGTTCTTGAATTACCTGAAACAATAACAAGAAGACCAAATCAGCTCCATTCTTAAAGACCGTGAAGACTTGCAACATAAAAGAAATCATGTTCTTTTTAGATTGCTAGGATCAATCAGTGAGTGCTCTCGAATGATCAAAACTAATATTTCCCAATACTCCAAATTAATCAATTATTATTTGCAATGGATAATCCACTTGCAGTATATCCAAACAATTCCATCTATAAGTTTCTTATGCACAAACTTAGGCACATAGGATTGACCCATGGCAATCAGATTATGTTCACCAAATTTTGTTGTTCTAGGAAAAAGGACCAACAGGAGCCTAACAAGAGTTCATGGGCAAATTAAAAGAGGATCAACACTTAATTCTGCAAATAAGGTCAGTTCTATTTTCTGCTACGAGCTCAATTCTCCTAAATTCAAAAGTCTATAGCAACTTATTTCAATTTGTTACAGGTTTTTGATAAGAAGGGAGAGCTAATCTGTGAGGGGTATGATGAAGGTCCAGGATTTACTCACCAATCACATAGTTCAAATCATCAAAGATACTTGGCAAAACAGAAAAAAAGTACTCAAATCAATTGAAATATATATATTGAACAGTTCGCTTTTTTTTCAAAAATATTTTCCCCTCCATTTCATGCATGGGCAGAGAGCTCCATGTACCTGATTCCAAGGGAGGAAGAATACTCCAAGTTGAAGACTATATCAAGGATGTTCCTGAGATAAATAAGGTTGACATGTTGATGAATTAGTTTGCGCTACCAGTGCATGAAAAAGACATGCACTGAACAAAATAAAGAATGTATGCCTTGAATTTTCCTTCCATGTATATATACAGGACTAACTAGCTCCCTTAGCTGATGCTTAGAGGGAGCTTGAAGACATCCCTGTCTCCAACAATAAGAAGGATTGCATTACTGCTTTTATTCTCAAATTTGTTGAATCTTCTATAGCTGCATTACATAACACATATACACAAGATTTCAATAGCTTGTAAATACAGAAAAACAATATTCTGGCAATATAGGATCAAAGAAAAGAAGACATTGGTTAGATCATTACCCATCTTGTAGGCCCTTCACTTTGACATAACATATCGTCTGTCTGATCAATGAATACTGATGTTGATACTAAGCAGCATAACAAATCACACTTCTATACTACATTAGAGTTCACGTTGCTCAATTCTAAATCCATGATATATCCAAACACAGGCACTCATAAATGCGCGTGGACGCCTCCACACGTCCCAACTACACCCACACACACCAACCCACCACACGCGTCCGGTTACGTTGGTGTGTGCATGCGGCCATGCGGACTGGCAAGGGCATGCAGGCTGGTGGGGCTGACGTGTGCCTGCAAGCATGTCTGTTTGTATGTGTGCGGTATGTCTGTTTGTACGTGTGCCTGCAAGCATGTGTGTTTGTACGTGTGCGGTATGTATGCATGTATTTATGTATGTATACGTTTATGTATATAGATATAGATGTATGTATATTCATTTATACGTGAATATGAATACATATACACCTCTAAGTACATGTGTGCACGCACACACATATAGACACACCACCACACACGCAATTTATCTCATGCAGGTGTATGGTTTAATGCTAATGTTACATTTATGCTTTATGCTTTTGTTATCGTAGTACAAGTTATATTGCTTAATTGGTTTGGTAAAAATGAATGTCATCCATCTTAAGATGTATGGTTTACTGCTACTATGACATTTATGCTTTATGCAGACCTAAACTGTACCTAAAATCTAGAAGAATGCAAAGTCTTTCTCTCCTCATTCTCTCCAGCATTTAACGTGATGCCAGCATCATTATCATTTCAACATGAAGTCCAGTATTAGAAAAAAATGGAAAAATAAAGCCCATGAACATCCTTGACATAGTCTTCAACTTGAATGGAAAAAAATGAAGTGATTCTCTATAACAAAAGGTTCTTGAATTTAATTAAGGATGAACAAAAGGACTCCAGGAAAGACAATTGGTTGTTCATAACAATAGAACGAGGAAATTTTCCTACACTTGCAAATAGTTCAGAACATCGATATAGTAGTAAAACATAAGAACTAGACAGAAAGCTGACCTCTAGTTGCATATGTTTCCCCCCTCCTTGCAAGCGCATTCCGAATCTGCTACAAACAGAAATGGGATATATGTGAACAATAAGGTCAAATAAGAGAAAAATAAGATCGATACAACCGTTTAAGACAGAAATTTAAAAATGCACATAACCACTAACCACTAAAAGGAAATAAAACTAAAAATATGATTTTTAAGCTCTTCCTCTAATGATCAACAACGAACGGACAACCTTGATTTTGTGAAGCGCACAAGGTTTTGATGATACAAAAGAAGAAAGAGCATATGGATGGACTTAACATCCTTTATAAATTCATCCCCATGTTGTAGAGTGACATGAACAGTATTCAGGAAAGAATAAAGGTATATATTTATCAAGAGAATATATAACAATTGGAAAAAAGTACATATTTGTCAAGAGCAGTGTTCTAAATGTCCGATGTTGGGGACATGCCTGGGAGAAAAATTCTATATTTGACGAGGGATATTCGCGAATATTAGAGATATTTTAGCTGATTTTCTAAGGCTGAAATGTCACTTGATATATCGAAAAAAATACATATATCACTCACAAATTGCCAAAAGCGTTAAAAGAATATTGAGACCATATCACTTTACAGCAAGCCTTAAAAAAACACATCGGCCAATATATCGGCCATGTAGGGGATATATAAAACAATGGTCAAGAGAATATATAGTACCAAGACACAGAATTATTAGCAAAAGGATTCATACGAGTAAGCAGTGTGATATATTCAAGTATAAAAATTCATTGACTGTTAAAAGTTTGAAAGTGCATGCACTCACAAAGAGCGAAATTTACTCAATCCTTTAGTCAACATGAAGCATATCATTTCAAACAAAGGAATTGAAAATTACTGGCATTATGATGGAAAAAGATTGTGTGAATGAACAAGGTTAGTACTACTAATTTTGTGTAAAACTTAATTAGGAGCAATGTTTTTTTTTGTGAAATAACATAGTAAAGAAACAGATTGTCCTTCAATGTTTAAGGCCCTTCATCAGGTCTTTTCAGATTTCAGAAGCCATCAATCGTATGTTATAGGATTTGGAGCCATGTATCTCTTTGTCTGAGAATTCACAAGTCTACCAAAGACAAACAATATACCTTGTGGTTAATATATTCAGTATTTAATTCATGTGATAAATTCTTTATTGCCTACTTCGATCATTGTCATGCTGATACATTGGTATGGATCAATTAAAGGGCGGCTTTGTGCATACTTGTATGTATATCGGTGGAGAGAACATCCTATTTGTACATACTTGTATGTACATTGGTGTGCCTGAGTAGTTGATGTGCATATTTTCACTTGGTTTATAAAATAAAATTTTCATCAACCAAAAAAAAGGAAGTTAAAATATATATGATAATGAATAAGATAACATACCACGACAAATAGATGTCAATGCATGAAATTCATTAAGTTTGCAAATAGCACATGATTATAGAACATGATCTTCTTAGCATAATACTAAATTGATTTTAGAAACTTGTAGCTTTTTTTTCTGTGTCATCCTTGTCATAATTATTCTTCTAAAGTTTCCAAACTATAATATTGATTTTCACAGTAATCTCAGAACTCTACGCAAAATTATTAGTACCAACGTTGGCATAAAGAAGAAGAGTAAGAGAGGTGAAAGCTTTGATCCCAAAATCTCAATTTAAGCTTGAATCCCAAAATCTCAATTTCTATCTACGGTTAGGGTTTCGGTAGAAGTGGAGAGGATTGGGAGGGAGCTCGGTAGAGAAATCAATCGATAGAATACAGTTTGAATCTAGAAATTTAGGGTTTTGGTGCAACTAGAGATAGAGGATCGAGAAGTTCTCACCGTTTTCGATGATCGTCGTCATCGCCGGAGGTGACATTAGGGCATGCAGGTGAAACTGGATCTCCTCGTCGTCGTCGTCGTCATCGCTTTCGCCGCCACCGCCGGTTGAGAGCGGAAGTGGGTAGGGGGAGAGACCGCGAGAGCCGATCCACGTTGTCGTCGTCTTCACCGCCGCCGGTTGAGAGTGGAAGTGGGGAGGGAGAGAGATTACGAGCGGAAGTGGGGAGGGAGAGAGATCGCGAGAGCGGGTGGGGGGAGATCATGCGGAAGTGGGGAGAGAAGAAACAATTGGAATTGCAAATGACAGCCTAGCAGTTGGGATTTAGAATTTTGGGCTTTCTATATCTTTAAAATGTTAAGGGATTTGGACCAATATCTAGAATTCAAAATTTTTTGGATCCAAATAATGAAATTGGGCCAAATATAATATTTGAAATAAAATCCTGGTTATCAAACAGGCTCCTAGTGGAATCAAAATAAAGTACAACTACAAAACAGGCAAAAAAAAAAAAAATTAATAACGATAATAGACATGATATAGAAAGAAGCATCTCATAAATAAATTATGTCTTAATGAACAACCTAGAATACATCTGATATCCAAAATGAATAAATATGTCTCGACAAGAAACAACTAAAAATCGTACTAAGGCACACTGCCTTTACACTACGAAATAAACTCTAAGGTTTGAACAAAAATATAAAACTATGGTGGAACCTCTAATAAATCTCATGTGACGGCGACTATGTAAGAACTCTGTCATCCTGCGACTCTACGGTACTCCAAATTACCTGAAAGAATATTAGAAGAAAAAGAGCAATAACAAGAGCGTCAGAGTGCTATAGCAAGATCACCTCCATCCGCCTCTAGGAGAAGGGTTGCTAGATGGAGTGGAGACTCTATCTATTAAGCATAGTCTACCTAGATCATTTTCCTCCATATTTAATGAAATTAATATTTAGAAACGTACATTACAAGACGTAGTACGTCGAATGAAATAATCCAAACAAAGAAATCCTTATATATATACCATATGTCCCTAATTGTAAACATCTAAACATTAATACCGAATTGTGAATCGCTAATTATTGATCCCAACTAAGAAAATAAAGAAAAGCAGTAAAAAGAAGTAAAGACATCAACATATCGTATTCATAATATCTTCCACTGTCATTGGGAAGATAGAATGAATACTAGAAGAAATCCCGTGTATTTTCAATTACAAAGTACTATGGGTCATATATTTTAGCAGTGAGTCAAAAACATAACTTGCATCCACCAACGACTCGGGCTATCATTTAACTATCTCAATATAACTTCATGTAAGATTTTGATACTTAGCATTATCATGTGCAACAGACTACCCTGTAGGTATCCTAATCAATGTACATGGCTCTTTAGTCTCAGCGCGATCTCAATGTGTAACATGAGTGCGGAACGGCCTACCATATAGGTATCCTAGAAGTATGGATCACAAGCCTTATCACACTCTTTTGTAGATGGACTGCTAGATAAAGCATCCAAACCCGACTCAATGGCCTGTACAAATAGAACATCGACGCACTACCCCCTTAGTATTGAACTGAGCTCATCAACGATATCCAAAATGTGTGTGTATAATAAGTACTAAACTCTTTCTCAAAGTAATCGGGTCAAAACCCATCATAAGTCCTTTCAGCATATCCATGTGTGTGCTATTACACTATTCGTGAATTTACAAAAAGAAGTGTGGCTCAAAACCCGCAAACATATCTCAAAGAGATGCAAAATAAAAATTCAGAAAACAGTCTTATTAGTCGACTACTAGGCTTAGTAGTCAACTACACTGAGCCATCCAGACTATGTAATAACATATATCAGTATCAGTAATCGACTATTAAGAATATTAGTCGACTACTCTGCAAACACACAGTTTCTAGTATACTCAACTGGGCACGAGTAGCCGACTACTAAGCTTTATAGTCGACTACTCTATAAAGACACGCATTCTTTCGTGCACAAACAGTGCTTTTGTCAATTATACATATCATGACATTAAAACGAGATTTTATACTTGGCATATGCAATATGAATTATCTAAATTATCAAATTAAATTATTATATCTTCTAAATTAGGGTTTAACATCAAACAACTTCTTCAATTATCTCATATGTAAAAAAAGTGATTATCAACACATGATAAAAACTACTCATGAATAGAGGTAAAATTCACTTAAAAATGTTAATCTTACTTAGGTATCACAAACCTAGGGTATAAGCATGATTAATTAACATGAAAACTCAAAGAAACCTTCACATAATATATCAATTATTTTAAATCAGCATATTTGCAGTTTTTAGCAGAACATATCATTAGTAAATTGAGCATATTTTTCTCTAGTCAAACTCTTTTTAAGAATAGTTTTATGTTTTAGAAACTAGATCCACATAGCTATTATTTGGCACTAATTTGGTTTATTTTGGAGTTTATATGATATCTTAAATTTCTAGTTAAAGGTTACACATGTGCAACGGTTTTCTGCAGAATATATCATTAGTAAATTGAGTATATCTTTTTCTATAAATACTCTTTCTTAGAATGATTTTCTGTTTTAGAAAATAGGTTCACATAGCTTTCATTTAACATGAGTTTTTTTTAGTTTAGAGCTTAAATGATATCTCAAATTTCTAGTTAAATGTTATATACATGTAGCAGTTTTCAGCAATTTATGATGAAAATAAAAACTAAAGTTCTTTATAATTCAATTAGACAACAAATTAGGATTAACATTTGAGTTGAATATAATTATCAAGTTTAAAAAATATAAATTTAATCACTCCTAATAATCATGATCATGTTATTATCATAAACAATTAGGAAAAGTTAATGATCTAGCATTGGGTTAAAATTTATCATAAAAATTCTTATTTTTTTCATATTAGGTTAAACCTTAAGCATGAAAACATTGATTAAACACTTTTATAATTATTAAATACTATAGGAATGAGTTTGGATACAAATGATCTTGCATTACCATGTGTGTAAGCCTCTGAAACTGATGTGAAACAACTCCTCGTTGCCAAACATCGTGGATCTCGCCTTTTCCTCGCTTCTCGCCTCATAAGATGCTCCCAAAATCTCAACTTTAATATATATATATATATGCAAACCCGAAATAAACCCGTTTGACCCGAACCAGGAAACCTCGTCTGACTAGGAAAATAACATTCGGTATTTTCGCTGTAACTTTATCATCTGACTTCAGAATAAGGTGATTTAAGATTTTTTGGAAATCTATTTAAGAGACCTACAAATTTGGTCTTTTGATTTTTTATAAATTCAAACTGAATCAGTGTGTAAAATATATAAACTCTTAACTCATCACTTTTCCAGATTTCTCTTCGTGCATGTTTTGTGCATTTGCACTCGTATATTCACAAATATACATTGAATAAATCTCAAATCAATTCCTATCATACTCAAACATCAAAATATGTTATATTTTCATCATATAACATATTTATTATTATTTTTCACATTATATTCAAATTTTTAGGGTTTTACATCCTTCCCCCTTAAAAAGAATTTCGTCCCTTAAATTCCGCAATCGTATCCTAGAGATTAATAATATCAGAAAAACCCGTTGAGGGGATAATTCAGACAAGAAAACCCTCATATACACATCTCGCACCATTAATCTATAGATATAAAATATGAAAACATTTACACTTAACAATCTGGAATGCCAATATTCCCACTCAATCCCTAACTAGACGAAACTAGTATGTCGGGCGAAAAATACAAACAAGGAACCCCTCATATATATACCATGTGTTTCGAATAAATAGAAGTTATGTGTTAATACCTTCATTCTAGCGTTAGGTATGAATATAACCATATAAACAATCCATAATAATTCAAAATTAATCAACCCACCTGCTCAAACAGGTGCGGATAGTCGCGATGCATAACATATTCACGCCCTAAAAAATCGTCATAGATATCTATACTTAATGGTCTTAAATGCAAATACTCCCAGTTTACCCCTAACTAAACGGAACAAGTACGTCTGGCAAAAAATACAAGCAAGGAACCCCCCATATATATACCGTGTGTTCCTAATACTTAGGAGCTAAGTGCTAGTATCATCATTCTAGCGTTAAGTATAAACATGATCATAGAGATGTTTGGGGAGAAAGTTTATGTCTTCATTGATGTATTCATTACAACTTCAATCGTTACAATAAAAATAAAAATGGATAGACTTTTTATAAGACTCTTACACAATGAAAAAAAATACAACTTTCATCAAAACAAACACAACGGACGTTTATCCTTCGCTGCTTGCGTGGGATCTTAGCTTGTGATAGGGATGTTGATATTCATGGACTACCAAACGATCAGATCAGATCCGAAGCTTCATTGATTCTCTAAGGAATCAAGAAACCAAAGCAATTATCTCGACAATAGTGAGATAATCACTCTTCTCAAGATTACCGCAACGGGGCAATCTCAAGGTAATGAACCGTGAAGTGTAAATCTGACGAGCTCCTCTTCTTTATGCCGACGAACTCAATCTGATCTCCTCCTCTCTTCTGAAATTCATGCTCCTTCAGTCTTCAATCCAGCAGGGCTTCGCTAATGCTCGAGAATTCCAGATCTGAAAAAATGAAGGCACTAGGGCTGTATTTATTAGCTTTGGGACCTCTGTTTTCTGATAAAACGATCGATTCACTCTAATCTTTAGTTGTAACCACTTAACCATTTTCTTGGATGGTATTTTATCAGTTGAAATAAATCCAGGCGGTTAACGGTCGAAAAACAGCTTAAATCTGCCAAAAACTGTTTTCGGGGCTGCGGGCAGCCGTGGGTGTCTCGGCCAAGCCTTGGCCTAGACACCTCTTGGTGTCTCAGCCAAGCTCTGGCTGAGACACCTATGGAGTTACTCCAGTAGGCGTGCTAACTGTGCTGTGATAGGTGTGCTAACTGTGGTGCGATAGGCCCATAAAGCTTCGTCGAGTTTATCGTCCCAATCTCGTTTATTAGTCTTCACGAGTTTTGACAAAAGTTTTATGATAGTCTTATTAAAAGCTTTAGCCAATCCGTTCACTATGAGATTGTAAGCCATCGATGAGACATCTTAATTTTTAAACTTTTCGCAAAATTTAATGAACACATTACTGACAAACCGAGGACCGTTATCATGTATGATTCGTCTTGGGACATCATACCGATAGATAATATGGTGTTTGATGAAAGCCATAATGTTGCTCGTCTTAACTTCTCTAAGCAGAATCGCTTTAGCCCATTTGGAGAAGTAATTAGTAATTTCCAGGATGAAT